GAAAACTTAATAAATATTAACGGAAATTCTTTAAGCGCCTGTGCGAAGTAAGGTTCACCAAATTGATTTCTGAATGATATAGTTGGAACGTTTAGCAGTTCTTATATGGTCTTAAGGTAATTCTTGCTGAGGACTTAAAGCAAAATTCGTCTTTGAGTGGCCTAGTTGGAAATCTCAGCAACTCCTAAGATTACTTTTGCTTAGAATTTAAGGCATGTTAGCTTATAAGGTATTTCTTCCGCCATCTTAGTAGTGTAGTAGTCTGCACCCTGGGGGCGTATTCCAGAGGTCCGTGGTTCGATTCCCAGCGAGGACGTTGCTCATTTTTCCTCTCTCCTGCTTCCAAAAGGTACCTAATGTCTCTACAATTTGACCATCTGTGATCTGTAGTAAAAAGTAGCAACTGCATTAAATGGGGACTCTATTGCAGTGGAGTGTTGATTATCGAAATAGTCATGAAGTGTTTTAGATTAATTCACATTTGAAATATTATTTAATTATTTATTTCAAAGGTTGAGGTACAGCTGCTATTGACGTTATACACAAGGAATTCTACGAAAATATCATGTAGTTAGTTTATGCCTTCAGCAGAATAGAAAATGTATTAAATTAGAGATATATTTGGAAAATAAACGCACTAAAGTTAAGTTTAAATTTAGGAAAAAGCATCTTCAGATTGGCAAATTTTTTTTCGATTTCAAGACGGCTACACAAATTTCCCTCTTCTTCAAAAAGAAGAAGTTTTCAAAGGTGTGAGGAGCAACAAACATTTTATATATTTGTTCTTTCATTTATCTCAATAAATATTTTTTACTTGTTTGCTTCTTCCCCCAAACGAAATCTTGTTACCCGGCTTCAACATAAGATTGACTTTTTTTGCTGTGTAGCGAAATTCTGTTAAGTAATTAATTTGACTTATTAAAAGATAATTTATTAATATTCTAAATTTATGCTACACAACGTGTATTTTATTTAATCACCATTAACCAACATTTTACTCTTTTATAATCTGAGAATAAATATTTTCTCCTCCACAGAATTATTTGAAATTGTTTGCCAATGATAGAAGATTTTCTCGCAATCTTTTAAACAATTTTCTTTTCCGTCATCGTAAGAGAAATTTCGCTATTAGAAACAGTCATGACAACCTTGTCTCTGTCCTATTTAACCCATTTATCATTTACAAAATATTTCATATTCTGGACGAGCTCATTTTTCAGGTCATTTACTCACCTATCAACGAAATTCGTTATTACATTTGTAAGTCCCATTTGTAATTTCAATTCTTGTGGTATATCTTGTCAACAGTATATCTCGCCAACGCAGTTTGATATAAAGATCGGCCAAATGAAAAGAGCGTTTAAATTTCTCATTAACGAACACGAGTCTTATGCTTAAAAGGAGAAATTAACAAACCTTCTGTAACCATAGTAGGTCATTTAAATTGTGATCATTTAGCCATAATTTTAATTTGGATAAAAGTTATCCACAAGGCTACTTCAGCTGGTGTTTCAGCTGAAGTAGCCTTGTGGTTATATTATATAATCAAAAGTTTGGATTTCCTTGAAGCCTGTCACGATCATAAAAATTATTGCTTTCTTTTAGTGACATTAATTCCGAACCAGTTTTTTCAACCGTTTCCAAAATCCTAATTTAATAACTTATTCAGGTTTCACTATTTTGATCAGTAGATGGCGCTATTTTCGTTTTCAATTTGCTAAGTCTATAGACTTTCAAGCAAACTGTCTGTCGTTCCTCCTAGTTTTTCGAAACGGTTTTGCTCCGGAAAAAGAAGATTCCGTGTCTGATCGCCCTCGAAATAAATTACATTTTATTCAAAATCTGCTCTAATCTAAGCCCTAAGGTAGCTTTTCTATCCGATTGAAAATGTTTACTTGTTTCAATTACGTGACTTTGGATCAATTTGCCTTTTCATCAGACGATAACGTGAAATCACAAAAAATTAAGAGACAAAATAAAACGGCTTAGAATATAACCTTCAATTCATAACTTCAGTATTCTTTCAGATATATGTAGTATACGCGTTCCATAAATTCGAATACATGGAAACAATATCTAACCACTAAATGCAATAAAACTGTTATGAGCTCTTTTGAAAGATATTCAAATGCACTTTAATATTCGAGCTTTGCCAGACTTAGGCTGGTTCTTTCGAAAACTTTCCCAATAAACTGCAGCTTCAGATACAGTACAACTCGGCACAACAAAACTAAAAGGAAAAAAAATCGTCATAAAACAAAACAAGAAAATCCACACTTCTGATAACAAGACACATTGATCCAAGGTCACGTGACTGAAGGCAAGCGAAAGACTCATACCTTTCGTTTATTTATTTTTCTCACTTACTTCCGCCCCGTTTTGTTTTTTCATTCCATTCCAACACACCTCCTCTCCTCGTCTGCAGCTAAACGAAGAAATAACCCTGGGCGAATATTATCTTCCACCCTTCTATCGTCTGCACAACAATTCCGAAGTTATTGGCTCCGAAGACTTTTCTCCCTCCAACTTTCTGTACTCGCTCCCATCAGGTCGGCTTAAGGCAATTTTTCGGCTCCTAGTATCATACGGGCCTTAAGGTGAAGACAATATGTTTTTTTCCTCTTCTATTACTTCGTTTCACGACGTCTTCTTATTAGACGATTTGCTTTCTTCTCGAGAATCACTTCTGCTTATTGACTGTCCACGTTTAGCAGGAAAATACGAGTTTGCTTTATAGAGCTTAGAATGCGGTTTTGGGGCCAAATCGTTGAATCAACTACCATTTCGTTTAAGTAATGGAAATACTTAAAAGGCATTTGCCCTTTATTATGTTTTCTCTTTCTGCAATCACTAACGCAAGATATTGTCATTTGGCGATAGCTAAACTAATAATGTCTGTTTGCTTACGATTGAGTTTGAAGTAATAATATGGTTGATTCGTGGAAACTAAAAAATAGCGATATCCATAATTTGAGATTATTTGGGATATGTTGATACAATTGTTTCAGTTTTATGTAATGATATTTTGTCATATAATTGCACAGAACATCCACAAAGCTTAGGATTATATTTTAACAAATTCCAGTAAAGCTGCTAAACAATAATTGACAGTATTTGTTATTATAACATCTTAACTTGCTTCTCTATAATACCGTGCACATAAAGATAGAATTACCAGTGCAGTTAACTGTTTGCTTTAATCCAGTGTCCACTATTATAGATTCGAAATCTGTCCAAAGATAAAGGTTTATTGTAAAGCGAGAGAAACAGAACATTTCTTAAACTTAAAGAAGCTGAAATGAAGATGAAGTTTGATACTTCGCTTGTGGTCTCGAGACATAATGTCAATCATCTGCTTGAACTTTCAAATGTCATCTTTTACAGAAAATTCGGTTTCAAACCATTCGACTTCTCAGTTACAGACAATATTCATAACTTTTTCACAAGGAAATTTTTTATAAAACCCATAATTTGTAAAGACGTAAATTGTAGACTTCTGAAGCGAATTTAGCACAAAAGCTGAAAAGGCTCAATTGAATAAACGGTTTCTGATGCACAATATTCTATTATATTATATATTTTTGTTCTCGTCAAGTTATTTCCAGCAAAGAAGAATACCACAATTCTCAACCTTCCCCCTTCTCATTCACCAACTCTTCCATAAAATAAAATTATTATAATGACATTGAAGGGACGCAGGGAACCTTAACCAGGGACTTGTATTCCAAAAGAGTAATTCTGTGAAGGAATTAAGCAACTATAAGAATGTACTAAGCGTCCAACAGATTTTTACGTTTTGCCTATCGAAGACTAAGAAATTAAAATTTTGTTTTCTTTAACTTTCTATTTTGCACGAAATTAGTCTAAGTGTTTATTGTCATATCCACGCTGATGTTAACACAGTTTTATATGCTTGGTCAGTAGGAGATGTGACCCTAAACCACGTAACAAAGATAGTTGATGACAAAGAGGACAAAGATAGTTCGATACTATCTGACAATTGTGGCACTATTCAACATCCGAACGATTAGAGGAATGCAAGATATAAAGGAAGCACAGAATGAAATTGCTTATCAGTTAGCAAAATGAGGTTGTGCTAGACTCATTACACCCATCGTAGCTAATTACATATCAAGAGATCTTCAACACTAAATAAACTTTAGTTAAACTCCCAATTAACCAGAGTGTGAACGACATAACCCAAAATGACAGTGACAGTTAACTGGAAGGCAGTTAAAAAGCATACACAAAAAAGATAAATAACCCATATTGTAATTAAAACAAATATATAAATTCTCTGCTCCTTTAAACAGTATAATCTGAAGAATAAATTCATTTAGTTACATAGATTAAATCAGTATTCAAATCAAAATAGATTGCACTGTAAAAGGTATAAAAAAGTATAATTAGAAATGAAAAAACTAATTAGTTTTAAATGGCATCAATATATTTAATAGTTACAAAAGAATCTAACCATTTGAGTTCTGTCTGGCATAAAACATCGGTTGCAACATTTTATTTCTTATAGTTCAATGTGCATATGTTCACAATTATATATAATTAAATTTCATTCTATTGCCATTGAAAGTAACTTAAAAATATTCACATCATCCCCATGCCTTGTCTTCTTGTGTTTTACTTTCTCTACACATTTTTAAGATAATAGTTTACGATAGTAATTTTTTATCGTTCCATAATAAATAAACTTAGCATTTGTAAATTGCAGGACCCTGTAATCCGCATTCCCGTTAATTGACCCTTCAGTTAATCGAAACTTGACTGTATTTAATAATGTATTTATAAAACGATGTAATTATAAGGCTTTTCTTATCTTATAAATTAAATCTAGTATTGACAATATTTAACCAAATTTTTAAAGAAAAGTAAAGTATATTTTGTAGCTAAGGCTTAATATGTGAAATATATTTTTATATAAAAGAAATTAAATGTAATCAAAGTTTATAGAACTGTACTTATGACAATTGTATTTAATTTTACAGACTGCCTACACTTGCAGCTGTACAGAGACAGTAAAGACCGATGCAAGAATGGACCCACCAAGGCTTCTTTGTCTCTAGAAGGTTTCTTAGGCATGGAAACAGGTTTCACCTTAGACAAAGAAAGCAACACTATGGCGTTAATATGCTCGGAAGTAGTCGTCGTCCTGGCTTTTGACTCCAGAGAGTTGCTCATACAGTGGCAAGTCAAAGTGAGGGCAAATTTAGTCGAAGGTAAGATCTGATGCATGATTATTTTACACAACAAAATTCTGATAACGCCGCACATAATGGAAATAAGGATTTCTCTTACCTTGGGTATGATTGTTTCCAAAATGTGTGGAAAACTCTCTCCGCAGTGTAGAACCAAGGACTGTGTACATCCTATTTGTGGATTTTAATCTCAAAGTCTGTCGACTAATCTCTGCATGCGTTGGGACCAAGGATTGCGCATATCTTGGGTGTAGATTAGTTTCAGAGTATGTGGAATTTATATCCTCACGTGTTAGGATAAAGAGAACTGCTCACACTTTGGATGCAGATTAGTCCCAAGGTGTAGAGTCCAATCTTGAAATTAAGGCTTGCCTGGATTAAAGTACTTTGTAAATTACAGTCATAATTTTGTTTACATTTTTCTCCTGCTGAATTTTTACATTAAATTTGGTGTTTTCGTTAATCAGTTTTCTTTGTCCTGCAATAGATTCGACACTAAATGAGTTTCGAAATCTTGCATGAGAATCATAGAATAGTTCACGTTTCGAAATCTTTTCCTTGGCTTCTCTCTTAAATCAAAGAATGCAACACTATAGCATTAATATGCTCGCAAGTAGTTGTCGACCTGTCTTTTTACTTCAGAGAGTTGCTGGATAATACGTACAATGGTTAGAACAACACATAAACAATTCTTAAAATCAATCTAGAAATCTCGTGTCAAAAATTCCTAGAGTATTAGTAGAAACAACGAAACTTATTTACTGCGAAGTAGCTCAAGTTTCGAGAACTTTTAATTGGTAAACTAGTAAATTTTAAATCAAAGCACGAAAGGAATGTGTCGTAAATAAAATTGTACAACAGGTTTCCTTTTAACTGCACTGTAAGTTCAGCGAACTTGGAAGATAAAGCGAAAAAGATCCAATACGATATGTCAGTCGTACCAACTTCTAGTCCACGGTGTCTTGAGTTAAGTCAGACCTATAAAACAAGCAGTGGTGAGCAGGGTGAAAATCTCTATGGGGGCTCCTTTATTGGAATGACTACGACGAAAAATATCAAGGCAAATATATAATTATCATTAATTTAATCAAAGTTAGATAACTGAAAGGCTTTGGGGACAAGAGATCTTAACACTATAGAAAAAACAACTTTCATCCAGCAAACATATATTTAATAAAGCAAAAATATTTTTAAAGCTTCATCAAAATTAATGTTTTTAGCTACCTCATTTAAAGTGGAAATAATTGCTAAACAAAAAGTCTTATTTGGCTCATTGTTGATCAAAGGTAGCTTTTAATCAGCATAATTTAGTACCAAATATCAGTTAAGGGACTGATAGTTGGAAATCCATTTTCACAATAATCTTCAGCATTTTCAGTGCAACTTTTAGCTTTGTCTTTTTAATACTTCTATATACAGGTACACATAGTTAAAAAACTTAAGATTCTTCGGAAATTCCCCCCCCCACATCAGAGGCTCTGGGCGGTACACCCCTATTAGTAACCGATGAATTCATTGTATCTTAATGTGACCCTTGTCTTTATAAAAGTATTCAGTGTTAAAAAAACTCTATATCTACCGGCAAAATTGCTTTGAAAGTAATTTGTGTGCCTTTATAAGTAAAAAACGTGCATTATTAACGAACCACGAATAGTAAGATTTTCCTAAAATTGAATCTCTACGCTATTATTCTGCAATCATAGGCAGCTGGATAAAATAGCCTCACAAAAGGCAAAAGAATTGAAATTTTTTAATTTATTAGAAGAAAATTTCAGTGTTCTTCATTCCGCTTTTCTTTATCAGATTTTCCGCTTTTGAAGCCATAAAAATTTGTAAAGGTATTTTGAAAATTGTCTTCCTATTCACAGCCAATGTGAACAATCTTACTCATCAAGCAAATTGTAAACGAATCATATACGAAACGCATTTAAACTGGAATTCAGTATCATACAAGACGAAGAAATAAATTTTTACATATTCTTATCAAACAAAGTCAAAATTAAATTAAAAGTTTCTTAGAAGAAATTTTGTGTTCTTCATTCCGCTTTTCTTTATCACATTTTCCACTTTTGAAGCCATAAAAATTTATAAAGGTGTTTTGAAAAATGCATCCCTATTTACAGCAAATGTAAAGAATCTTACTCATCAAGCAAATTGTAGACGAATCATATACGAAGCGCATCTAAATTGCAATTCAGTATCATACAAGTTGAAGAAATAAACCTTTTGCATATTCTTATCAAACTAGTAAAAATCAAAGTCAAAATTAATTTTAAATGGCAGCAGTATGTACACATAAAAGTAGGGATTTATCTAATACTAAAGGTATGCACAGAGCAACAAGACTAGTGTTTATTAGAAATGGAAAGCGTGTTAAGCTTAGAAAGTATTAAATAGCTTCAATAATGAAATAAATTCGTATTTTCAATCAAAAATATAATAATGCACTTTTGTTAAAATGCTTGCTTTCAAACACATATAGTAAAATCTTGTCATTTTATTTGCGAGGCTAAATTCATTTAAAATCGAACTTTTAGTTGTGCATATTCAAAAAGGAACCCGAATTAGAGGCATTTGTGAATTAAGTGGTCGGGGATTATCCGAAGATTATTTTGGCTTATTTTGCAGTTTTGGTGAGTTATAATTTAGAAGATTTCCCGCCATATATATTCTTTAGAAAATGAAAGAACCTAACGAAATTTTTTCCTAATACCTATTTCATTAAAAGACGAAAAGACCTCCAGTGTTTAGGGAAATAAGCTTAGGAAAGAATTTGAGACTTAAAAAAAGCTCTACTAGAATAGATCTGAAAAATGTATGCCCTTTATCTTATATGTCTTTATATATGAACATCCTACGTAATGAGATTTAGTGAAACATGCTCGAAAATATTTTGATAAAAGATAATTTAGTGAAATGGAGTGGAAAAAGACAGCATAATTTAAAAAGAGCGTATCTGTTTAGATCATCTTTACATATGTCTTTTCTTCTGCTGCTGCTGCAAATTTCTTTTTTATAAATTCAAGTCAAGCTTCAAAATTGTGGTTTATCTGAAATTTAAGGTGAATTTCCGTGTGAACACTTTCTTTATTTGTGGCGAAAAGTTAGCTTTCAACAGTAGGATTATACTTAATATGTTTTGGATTTTTAAATTCTGGAGCTGTAAATTTTCTTTTTAGTTTTCGCATATGTTATTTACTTTCTTAAACAAAGACATTCTTTTCAGTCTCTATGAACGGAAAAAGTCTTTCTTGAAAAATGCCAGAAAATTTCAGATTGTTTCTGATTTCGTAGAGCCTGGATATTATAAACTACGGCAAAAGAGCAAAATTATTCTTTTTCGGCAGAAAATCTCAAGTTTTTGCTTATTTTAGAAAATGTATTAATATGTTTTATCCGCTCTGTAATATATAAAAGGCCAAGACATTACAAATAAAACGCACCCAATGTTCTCCTTGAACGCTTATAAAGTGAGTTTCTTTCTTTGCTCACACACACATACTCGAGATCATGGTTTCATTTTATGTGGTTTGCCTATTTCTTTTGGTCAAATCTTGATTAATTTATGAATACCTTTTACCACCTTGACTGTCTCAAAGTTTTTCACACAAACATATTTATGATCGCCATACAATATTCCACAGACCATTTCTCGAAATTCAAGACGCATACAGCCAATCCGTCTTTTAACGAAGCTCGAATGAACCGAAAGTTTGCTTCACTGTATTAATATTTCGTGTTATGCGCTCCAAAAGGAAAACGTCTTCCTTCTAATAAAACTGACGGATAATCACAAAGAAACTGATTGCATTGGAACATTTACCAGAAAAGTGAATACTGGTTCTTTTTTTAAAGGATCATATTAAAGGTTAATTTTAATTACCGTTCCATGCAATTATTAAATTTGTATTTATATTCTTTTTAAAGTTCAGGATATTCATAATTTTGCGCGACAAATAAATTAGCCTAAAAGTTATGGTTCAACATATAGATATCTCTATTTAAAATATGTACTAATAATTACAAACAATCACTTTCATAACACATTATCGTCTCATACTGTACGCTTATCCGCGCTTCCTGGTTTTCCAAGAAATGGGTGCTACATCTGTTTCGAATAGCCTTTGTTTATGAAACAGAGTTAAGGTTTGATTTGATTAAGGCAAAGCACTCGAAGGCTATCTGCCTGAGGGAAAGAACGCCTTCGTGGAGGACTTTCTGATGGAAACTGGCTCTTATACACGTTACACGTGGGGAAATTCACAAAAATGCCAATGTAGCCTGCCCGTTCGAGAGATTCGAACCTCGGACCGAACTATCAGTGTTAAGCGACTTTACCGCTCGGCCACCGGTGAGCAAACTGAGAAAAGAGGTATGAAGAAAAGAGAGACAGTTATATAATAGGTTTTTGATATCGTAATAGCCTAAATATGGATGATTTTAAGAATAAGTAGTTTTTCAAAAAGCTGCGAAAATACAAAAGCAAAAGTTACAATCGAATATAGTAATAAGTTCATTATATTCGATTTTCACATGTTCAGATTCGCTGTGGCCACATAAAATAATATTAAACATATAGAAAATTGTATTGGACTGTAGCGTTTTTCGTTATATCGCTCGTTATAAAGAGGCTTCGTTATAGCGAGGTTCCATTGCATTTTTTCTTTTAAAATTAAATTTTTCTCACAGATCCTTATTTAACGATCAAATTAATTACAGCAGATCCTCAAATTTAGATTATTCGATAGATTAAAAAAATAATCTTCCAAATGTAAGTTTCTCGAAATTTCTAAAATAATTTTCGGAATCCGCTAGCTTTCAAAATGTGTTTCTATTTTTTAGCTGATGTTGACAATGACACGTTGTCAAATAAGTAATGCAGTTGATGATCAGTAATGCAGTACCTGACAATAATAAGTTTTAAAAGCAAAAGATTTAAACTTTTTTTGTTAGTAGCTCAAAATATGTTTAAGTGAAAATTCGGAGATCAGAATTATAAATTAAACACAAATTTAGATAAA